GTACTACTATCCGCTTGTGTTAGGTACAAGCTCCTTGGTTTTATGCGAACGAAGCAGCTCTCCACCGTCGATTTCTTGAAAGTACTGCGGTATCTGACCATCACGACTGCAAGCAAACAGACCGCCCGATTGCGATGGTGGTGAAAATAAAGGGCTCAGATTTGCCGATTGCCTTACCTAGGGGCAATCTCATTCATGAGTCATGACTCACGAGTCACGAGTGGAAGATGAGGGGCTAGGTACATTTCTGAGCAAGGAGGTTGGGGAAGCGCTTCAAAGTCCTTTGTTGGTCCCTGTCGTGCTGTTTCTAGCTGGTTTCGAATCCACAAGTGGGGGGGTGAGAAGATTGAGGAACCACTCAGCGCAACCGGATTGCTGGCTTTGAAAGCAAGTTGGAGAAAGCTTTTGAAAAAAGGTGCCGGTGAGTATCTTCGTCAGCCCGATGGGTTCCTTTAAATCTCATCTTGCACGAGATGTCTTGCTGATCAAGGAAACATACAATTTGTGCTCCAGGCAATTCGATTGTCTCATCTGGCGGACCACCAAAGTATGGGCCACTTTAGGGTTCTGTTCTGATCTTTATAGGTGGCGCCAGCAATTGGTTTTAACATGCAGTGTTGAATCGGTGCAGTCTGGTTTGCTCTTCCCAATGTCAAATCTCCCTTCCAGCGGGCGTGTGCTGCTGAAAATCGCTCGTGTGTACATGGGCCTTGCATTCTTTGATGGACTGATTTCTGCCTTGCTCTTACTTCCTCCTTTCACTAAAAGTCGGTGGTTGACCAGCGCTCTTGAATCGTAAGGGACTCTTGCAAATTTCATAGCTCGTCTGCAATTTGATTGCTGCTGTTCCGAAGCTCATGCAATTTGAGGCCAAAAGAGCACCTTCATAGAGAAACTCTCGGTGGCGCTTGTCTACATTTCTGGACTATTTTTTTCAAGTAACAGGTAATCATGTCTTCAAACATCCACTCACTTTTTGCCGTCGTAATCCATTCCTCATTTTAGCCCAATGGCAACCCGATTTGTGGATTGGTGGCGGACGGTCCTCTTACAAGCCTTTTGCCGTTTGGATCTGCAAATAGTGCTAAATTTCCACCGGCAGCTTTGCACTTGGATCACATGAACAGCCTGCCCCCTCTGCACACACTAACTTTGTTCTGGTGTGACCAATCCAGCCACCAGGCAGCTTACCTACGGACTAGCACCCATCTGCACACAAAACACAGGTCTTCTGTGTACTTGCTACGCTCAAATTGCATAGTCAACCATTGACCTTCACCCCCCTCCAGCTCTATCCCAGGCCCTGGCAGTGACCTTTCAGGCAATCCACTTAACTTGACTGGCAACTCCTTGTATGCCCTTGAAGTTTCAAGACCTCAATTTCTTCAGGAGAGTACACGTCTTTCCAATGTGCTTCTAATTCTATTCTACTGACTGCACAGGACCAAAATCGTGCTCCCATTTTCCAGCCCCTGTTGGAAGTACCGCTCCACTTAGCAAGAGGAGACTACCGTCCACCTCACATTTTAGCTCAATCAAGAGAGCAATCCTTGTTCACCCAGCTGCCATGTTTTCAACTCGGTATCACGCCCTTTTCTGATTGCAGAGACGGCGGGCCAGAGCGCAACGGTCCAGCTCAGAGCCCGATAAACAGCCAAAATGACCGCCGCGCCCCAATCAATCGAGTCGGGGCACCATGACGTTGTGCACGACGTTCAGATGGACTACTACGGCAAGCGCCTCGCAACGTGTTCGTCGGACCGCACCATCAAGGTCTTCAGCGTGACGGGAGACCAGCATGCGCACCTAGCAGACCTAACAGGTGGAATACTCTCAGACGTTTGCTGTTCCTCGTAACGGATCCGATACTTCGTGTACTCTGACTGGTGTTGTTTCCAATCACGTTCTCCTCCCAGGGTGAAAGTCTGGTACATCTGGTTTGATACTGTAGACGCCCAATAGTCAAAGAACTACCTTGGGCAAAATTATAGTGTCAGCAGAGACTTCGTGCATCCAATCTGAGGCTCAACATGCACAGGAGGGGCAAAACTCATGCCTCAATGACGTCGTAGTTTCAGATTCGTCTTCTAGCAGCTTTCAAAGCTTGAGGATACTGGGAAGCTGCATATTCTGGCCTTTGGATTTGTCCGCTTTGGGTTATTGTGGATAACGACGGGACCTCTGGAGAGATAGAAAAGGACAAAATCAAGATCTGTGGCTTGGTCAGGCACGCCTTTCTGGTAGCGTCTTGAGTTTCTTTCCCAGTTTTCATCGTCCCTTCTTGTGCTCAATAGCAGATTGCACGATGTTTTCTGTATGCCAGAATGCCAGAGTTGGGGCTTAACTCCTGCTCGGAAATTTCAAAGCGTCGCGGGACCCCACAGCCGCTTGGCATAGTTTTTGAGTGACGAGGTAATGTTTGCTCTAAAGAAAGGAAGACCTCTCGAATTGCCCGGCTGAAGGAGCTCGTGCTTTCTTGTGCCTATGCACATTCACTTCGGATGGAGGCTGCGTAGGCGGCCCCAGAGCCAGAAAACTGGAACGAAAAGTCGAGAGTGGCAAGAAACACAAAAGAATAGCGAAGTTCTCTATCCTGTGGTCTCGTGCTTGAAACCTCTGTATTGGTCCTTTTGTCCACCTTTATTTTACCAGGCTGTCACAAGGGCCCCGTGTGGCAGGTCGCGTGGGCGCTCAAACGTCGCCAATTAGAAAGAGGGAGCAAAGCCGGCAAAAAACAAACTGGTTTGAAGGAAAAAGACACCACCCTCTCAATCTCAATCTTTTCTATCAGGTCACGACGGACCCGTTTGGCAGGTCGCGTGGGCGCACCCCAAGTTCGGCAGCCTGCTCGCGTCCTGCTCCTACGACCGGCGCGTCATCATCTGGAAAGAGGAACGCGAGAATGCGTGGGTCCAGCTGCAACAGTTCTCCGAGCACGAGTCGTCCGTGAACAGCATCGCATGGGCCCCGTACGAGTACGGCGCGGTCCTCGCATGCGCGTCGTCGGACGGTTCCGTTTCCGTTCTGACGCACAAGCCGGACGGAACGTGGGAGCGGGTGAAGATCCCCGGGGCGCATCCTGTGGGTTGTACTGCAGTGTCGTGGGCCCCGGCGAATGTGCCTGGGGCGATTGCAGGTAAATTTCGATTCCAGTCGCTGGTAATCCAATTTGTATGAGTGTTGGTTATGTATTGTTGCTTGAGGGAAACAACTTGCTGCAGATTCCGCTTTGCAAATTTTTTTGGATGTGAGATCACCGAAGGTTGCCAGTTGTTGGGTTAAATCACGACTTGGGGACTCTTCCCTGGTGAACAATCAGCCCACGCAATACGAACGCGGATCCAAAAAACTTCTCGATGTCGACGTCTCTGCCCACGAGCCGTCAAGGGTCACCTCGAACCTCACAAAGCATTTTCCTCCGGACGGCTGCAACGTCAGATCACACTTTCCTTCCACTCACAAGCTTAATTTGCCTGCAGGAACCTTGGGGCCAAACCAAGGCTCGAACCCTCGGCTCGCGTCCTCCGGGTGCGACAACACGGTCAAGATCTGGGAAAACGTCAACGGGGCCTGGAAGCTGATGACGTACCCCGCGCTGAGTAAGCACACGGACTGGGTTCGTGACGTGGCATGGGCCCCAAATCTGGGGCTGCCCAAAAGTACAATCGCGAGCGGTGGGCAGGACGGAAAGGTGGTGATTTGGACGGAGCAAAAGGCGGGCGAGTGGGTTGGGGCCGAGTTGAACGATTTCAAGGTCCCGGTATGGAGAGTTAGCTGGTCGTTGACCGGTAACATTCTGGCGGTGTCCGACGCTAATGGTAACGTGACGCTGTGGAAAGAGGCGCTAGATGGACAGTGGGCGCAAGTCACGACCGTCCAATAATGGACGGAAGTGTCCGTGTGAGTTTGTGTCCTTTGTTTTTGACCTAATCATCTGCGACTTTTTTATCTGGTCCAAGAATCTGTGTTTTCCAAAGCAATAATCGGCTTTTCTGTGAAGACGCCGAGTGTCCTCAGCTGCATGCTTTTGGCCGTGACGGACTGGTGAGATGATATACCTACGCCTATGTATGCTCGGTTGACGGTTGTCATGGTAAGGTAATATCTCAATATGAAGCTGTGCGTAAACTGTTGCCAGAACATGTGATCCATGATAGCACCTATCTTAAGCTGCCGCCCCGTGTCGTGGTCTCAATCTCAACAATCTCAATTTATGCTCCGTACACAATTGCTCGATAGATCTATTAAGTACCTTGAACATCCTGTTGAGTCTATATATAGGCGATTAGAGCGTATCATTGGCATCATCGTTGGGCGGGGGGCTGCATGTGGATTCATTGCCAACCCACGAATCAGCCCGTTATATCGAAATCCTATGTTTGGATTTCGATCCGTGACTCTGCAAGAGTCGCATATACCAAGCTTCGGCCATAGCTTGCATGGACCTGAACACTTCCACATGCTCTCTAGCGTACATGCGACAGTGCCTTGAAGCAGTGCGGGGCCATTGCCGTCTGATGTAGTGGAGACAGACCGAACACTGTCCCTTCATAGCTGGCATGCACCACGAGCTGGGTGCGCCAGCTGAGGGCCTGCACACAGGGCGACGCTTGACAAAATTGCGCCGCGCGGCCGCTCAAGTAAGCGGCCGCCCTTAAACCCTTATGATGCGGTGACGCGGCCGGGCGCGCTAAGCCGCCGCCGACGCGTGGTCGCGCGCATATGCGCAAATGCCATAGTGAGACAGTGGTCCGGTGACTGTGGTCTTTTTCGGCCAATATTATGACGCTTCAGGAACCAGAATGTACTTTATTATGTGACAACAAGAGCACCTCTGCCAAGATGGACCCCGTAATGGTGGAAAGGCCTGCAAAGGAGCCTGAGGCCGTGAAGGAGCGGCAAGAAGAGCAAGAAGCTGAGCTTCACCAACTTAAAGCCGCCGTGGGAGAGCTGAGGGAAGAGCTTCGGGCTGCATGCGAAGATATGCGAGCGGAGCGCGATGCCCTTCAACTTCAGGTGATCATGGGATTGGTGTAGGAAAACGGCATGATGAATTAGGTCTTACATGATGGGTTAACGTCTTTCCTTTTAGCGTCTGGAACCTACATGTGATAGGGTTAACATCTTTCCTTTAAGCCTCTGGAACCTTGATGAAACTGAAATGGCGTTGCTGACGTGCACCTCTTGCATGGCTTTCTAACGGCAGGCACAGCTTGAGGACGGCTTTACTTGGATGCCTTTGACAGACAAAGGCCTAGCAGATCAGTGATGTGAGTCTGGAAAGTCAGTGGTTTTAGAATACAATCAGCGTTCGACCATTCATGCAAAATCAGTAAGGATTGCTGAAGGTTGAGGTTATTTAGATACACATGCTTTCTTTCGGTATAGCCCAGAGGGCAAAGAAAAAGTGTACATTTTTGATGGACGGATTCATCTACGGATCCTCACCTAACGATCCAGCCTTCAATTCCTAGCAATAGGAACAGCGTCAATACATGAGATTATCTATCAACTTTGCATCTCCGCATCTAGATGTCCAAAGTTCAATGTTTGCAGGTGGAGGCCAAGCTGGGCGCCCTCGAGGATCAGCTGGCAGCCATTAAGAAACGATTGCAGGAAGTAAGGAGCTTTTCATGTCAGAATGCTGGATGCTTTGTGCAAGTCAGGTGCGATGGGTTGAGGATATTCGAAGGTTGGAGCAGGAATGTGGGTCCTACGCTTTCTAAACCGCAGGTGATCAGATTCGATGGGCCCGGCTTTGAAGGAAAATGAGGGCAGCTTCTGGTGATTGTTGCTTTACGGACAAGGAATACTGATTCTTCTACAAGTACTCCCCTACATAAGGCGCTTGTGAAAGCTTCGATTTGGCTTCCAAGTTTGATAACAGTAGAGTCCTGGTCTCACATAGGTGGGCACGTTTTCCGCTCCCTGAAACCCTGACATGAAAACGCGCGTGCATATAAGCGCCTTGCAAACCCTTTTCCGGATTCTCTGGACCTTTAATCGAGTTGCATATTATTATATGGTCGGGCATATTCCCAACTTTCTCATTCATCCCCATGCAAGTACTCCCAAAAGAGTCCCTACGAACGATTCCTGCGCTCCCTAGTGACCGCGCCACAAGCTCGCGGCGGCAAGGCGCCGCGTCGGGGCTGCTTCAGCTTTGGCAGCATTGGCCGGATCCATCCTCAACGATCAAGCTGCCATGGTACGGCCCTGTCCTCCTGAGGGCGGGACGGGTCCTGATTTGGTTTTTGGGGTGCCATCATAAGTGGCCCGTTTCTGATGACTGAAAGGAAGAGCGTCAGGTGGTAAGAGCTTCTTCGCTGAAGAAGGAAGCAGTGTATTATGCGCACAAACGATAAGGACGTGGTCTCGAAAGAACGAACGCGAGCGATAGGCAGGATAGGTTGGTGTGACCTGGGCGGAGCGACTTGAAAGCGAGCGAATGGGTTGGGGCCCACTTGAAACACTCCGGTAACTCTCGATTGTTTAGGGCCGATTATTTTTGGGTGAGCACCCGGGGGCCGGGTGTGGTTAGTTTGGGGGTTAGGGTGGTTGCGGGTGCGGAGCTCGTCATGTTTGGAGTTAAGCTCTTTCGTTGAGGTGCCCGGAGCTTATGTATCTTAAAGCATTCCTCCTGTAAAACCCTAGAGTTATTAGTTATTTTGATGGTAGCCATGAACCTATGGCAAGAGGACATGGACAGTGGGCGCTTCTGACGACATCGATAGTGGGCGGCTTCTGAAAGTGTTCTTATGAATCCTCGGCCCTTGCGTTTGACCGTCGGATATCATTCTGGTTCGAAATAGAGGTCAGTAGAGCGCTTTGCAACTATGTATTTGAAAAGGGAAACTTCTCCTCCCTTTCTTTAAAATGACATGCCGGCTGTTGTCAGCTGTACTACATGTCGGCCTCGGATGGCCCGGCAGTAGGACATGAATGATAATGACGCATTTCTGGCGACCTGGATGTTACCTCGTCGATTCGGATCTGTAAAAGCTGACACTTGCCCATTGTATATAAGCTTTGCAAGCAGGTACACATCTGGTTGCACATACAAGAAATCTGAGATTTATGCCGTTGAAAAAACCTCGGGCAAGCCGTGAAGAAGGATCGTTATGAGTCAAGTGCTTTTGAAAGGAGGCAACACAGCCGCAGCCCTGTGACAATTACACATGTTTTTCGAACTGAGCTCTTCTCGCTGCGACTGAGAGCCGTCTCATTGTCGCATGTGCTCGACGATACTAGCACAGGGTACGTCGAGCCGTCTTGAGGGTCCTGAGAATAGAACTCGACGCAAAACATAGAGTTCCTATGCCCACCAGGCTGATGCTTCATACACATCACTGTGGAAAGGCCTGTTGTCCTGACAAGGTCTGAATCTGGTCTGAACGACTTCCCCGGTCCGGAAGACGTCGAACGCCGTTAAGACATCCGGAAAGGGTGTAAACGATACCGAATCGAGTCCGAACCGCTTGCAGATGCAAGACAGAATCTTGACAGCCCCTTTTTATGGTATGCAATGCTGCGACGCCCAGCGCTGCGGCGGCCGCGAGAACCTCGTGCTCTCAAGGGAGTCGGGGTATTGAACCTTGAAGGATCCGGTGGCCTACCCATGCCGCACATTCCCCAGCAGTCTTGTCAATGGAAGGCTCCATACTCGTTGAAGCTTGACGCAAATTTGACCACGTACGATACAAAAACTGAATCCTGGAGGATTCTCCGCCACACTTGACATGACAATCGCCCTGCACCTCCTTCTATCCGACCATACGCGAGCATCCATCATTCCATCCGACGGACTCCGAGTGGGTCAGCCTCTTACTGCCTTGAAAGAGAGTCTAAGTTGAAAATTCGCCGACTAGCTCGGCGCCCGACATATTCATGCAATCATTGCCGTCAGCATCGGCCGACCGTGACGGTCAACCTTCCTCTCGGCCGGGCGGCGCCCGCGAAGACCGGCGCTCAGGACTCGAGTCACGCGTGACCGAAGCATAATGCAGCACGCGGTGAAAGTTTAGGGACAGTAGTAGTCATGTAGTCAGATTACAGCGACTCATAAGAGACGAGACCACTGTCGAGGCCCAGTTCTATGCTAGGAGTGCCAGGTTCAGTAAACCTGAGCTGTTGAGCTTTCAATCTTTGACAAGACCAAAGCTGTGACACCGGCAAGCGCACAACAGTACAGCCTTCTTTGACAAGACGTAAAGAAGTAAAGCCCTTCTAACTTTGACAAGATCGAAGGTTGTGGAGCCCTTTTTTCTTGACAAGACCAGAACCTGTGGAGCCGGCCAGCTTCTTAGACAAGCGACACCGGCAGGATCTTGAAGTATAATTCAAGAGCTCTTCTTCTTCAAAAGTAGAAATGCATAGGCCCATCCTGACGAGCATTACCGAAACGCCCAACTGTACGAAGCTCGCTCGAGAAAGCAGGAAATGGCGGGTGTTGCAAGGACGCCACTGTGCTGCCAGTGGCTGCCGAGCAACCTTGTGGAAACAGCCACGGAGGAAATGACGCGGACGAGGTTCGGAAGCATCGTCCGACTTCGACAGGGACGTCAGCGGGGACGTCAGCAGCAGCAGCGCCCGACGTCACTGCCCTCGCCACTCCGCCCTGTTAATTCAAGGCACACGTCACCACTTTCCGGCGGGGTTAGAGCTGGGAAGACGAACCCTGTTCGAGCGGTGTCAGACCAAGGACCGGAGCCAGAGGCCACGGGAGAAAGGGCAGAGCGAGATGAGTCAAGCAGCATGAGCCGTGAACTCGTGATGGAACAGCTTGTGAGTCAGATGAAGCTGTTGGACCAGCTCGTAGCAGGGCTTGACAAGACGGTAGCTACTAGAAGCTTCGTCAGCTGGAGAGACAACGTTCCGGCTCTGGAGCTCTTAGCGCGCTTGCTTGAAGTGAGCATCCAGGCCAAACGGGTGTTTCTTGAGAGTATACAACGTTAGGGAGTGATGTTGGGTAGTATTTTGTTGCTGAGGGGGACCTGACGTCAGAGTAAGTATAGAGTAGCCCAATGACCTTCCTTGACGCCAATGAAAATGTGCCGAAAGAGTGGCTGCATGGTTTTGTAACTTTATAACCATTTTTATGACCTGGCCAAGGAAGGTGTAAGGACTCGAAGGAGGCAGGCCTTGTTCAACTTCTAATTTGTCATCAAATGAAGCATGCACAGGGCTTGCTTTTGAGTTTCCTTTTTGAAGGGAGATTGCTTTTCCATCGTCGATTGACTAATAAGATGTCATCTTTACCTGTAGACCGGCAAAGCAACAGTCACGCATGTTGAAACGTCAGTCTAGCGCGTCTGGTCTTCATCAGCATTCTGGTTTCAAATCAACTAGACGATTACTCACAGACGAGATCTGTACTTTACACACTGACCTTATATACTCTAGATAGGTACGCCAAATTCATATATTGGATTCGAGGTCATCTCAGTCGAGTCCGCATTTATATTGTCATCCGCCTGGCATTAAGGGGGGGCCTGCTGACTGAACATTGCATTTTGGTGTATGCTCAGTTGCACGTCATATCCGACGTTACGTTTATGCATGCCACGTGCAGCCACGCGACTGGCATGCATTAAAAAGCCAGCCCTGCCATGGTCAAAGCAACGGTGGGAGCCATATGCCTTGTAACTCAACCGCAACGCCAAAGATATCAAGTTCGCATACATATGGGAGGTCGCCGCGGGGCGCGCGCGGCAACATACCCGCAAATTGTGGCCAGCCCAAACAGGACGCACTCTAAACGACGATCGTACTCGATTGCAAATGTAATCGATCATGTCAAATTGCATCTCGACAACAATGTAGACCATATGTCCTTTGCTGCATAAAACTCACGCAGAGATGAAAGGTCAGGGAACCAAAATAGACACTGGGTGGTGAATACTGGCATGGAGAATCATGAGAACCAAACATCCATTTTCCAACACTTTTGCAAGATGTATTGTATGTACTGGCTAGAGGCAACGTTCGGTATTCGCCAGCTTGTAGAGCATCCGGTTCACTACCTGCCCTTCGACTAGCTCAATGCAGTCCGCTCAACTACTTCTTGTCTTGAGGTTGCGGAGCTTGCCCCGGTTGCATCGAACTCCGACCACCCGGATCTACACCCGCACTCGGCGGCGCTTGGCCGATGCCCAACGGCGGAGCGACTCCCGCCACCCCGAGCGCACCGACCGGTGATACGCCCCCCGAGCCTTGCAACATCATCTGCGCTTGTTGAAGATTGTACGGGTAACTCGCGGGGCTCTGTAGCGCCGCCGCCGGGCTCACCAGTCCTTCCGGCATCGGGTTAGCGCCCAACGGATTCGCCGCGCTCTCGTCCGGAACCAACTGCATTGGAGGCCGCCGCGGTGTGCCTACTTGGGGACCGGCGTGCGGGTTCACGCCCGCGAGCTGCGTTTGGGCGACCTGCGCAATCGCCGCGGCCGCGGCGAGCTGCGCGGAGCTCTGCATCGGCGCGTTTTGCGGCATCTGCATACCTCGGCTACGCCCCGCGGGGGTGCCCCGCCCCGCTCTTCCCGCCGCAACTTGCGGGCCCGCCCCCCTGCCCATTGGACTCGGGACCCCCCCCCGTGGCCCAGGTTAACTTGACCCCCGGGGGGGGT